AATAGTCACTCTAACTAGGACACTCACCCTCCTAAGTGCTGGGACTGAAGGCCATACTTGTTTTTTGGTAAATTTATTTATTTAAATCTAGTGTGTGTGTGTGTGTGTGTGTGTGTGTGTCTGTGTGTGTCTGTGTTTCTGTGTGTGTGTCTGTCTGTCTCTGTGTGTGTCTGTGTGTCTGTGCATCTGGGTTTTTCTTGCATGCATACCAGTGCACTATCTGCATGCCTGGTGCCCAGAAAAGGAACTCAAATTTCCCAAGTCTGGAGTTACAGATGGTTGTCAGCCACCATGTGGGATCCTCTGGAAGAGCAGCCAGTGCTCTTAACCACTGAACAACTTTCTAGCCTTTGGGTAAACTTTAAAGTTCTCTCGTTGATAGCACCCCCTCTAGTCAGTTCTTATCTCCTCTTCAGGACACTGGCCTTTGACTCTTGGAGATGGCCATCAGTGGCACTCAGTGACAGACACTCTGACCCTTCTGTAAACAGGCCTCCCCCAACAAATCCTGATTATGAGCTGCTAACATGGTAGCCACTCCAGCTGTAAGGATAAGGGTCTGAGAAAATGCTGAAGGAAGACCCCGGACTCAAATAGTATGCAAAAGCGAAGAGCATTTATTCTGCAGAAACAGCCAGCATATGCCGAGTCAGCCACTTGTACAACCTGATGATGAGCCCGAGAGCGGTGTACAGGCTCCTTTTAAACACAGCTAGGGGAATTTCAGGGCCGGTTAGGTCAGCTCAGCCATAATTGGTCAAGCAAGCAGCAGTTACATTAGTGTACTTTCAATTGACTGAGGTTTTATCTTTGGACATACTTGGATAAGTTTTAAGGGGGGTTCAGGAACTGTCCTTGAGACATTGTGGGGCTGACTCAGACCTTGTTCGTGCTCTTCCTCTTCCCTGAATATAATTTGTTGGTAAATGGCCCTTTGTTGGGAGAGACACCTGTTTGTCCCTTTCAGAGAACTGAAACCTAAATTCAGTTGTAAAGGTGGGAAAGTTTAAACCCTTCATAAGCAGACTGAAGGGCTCAAATGTGTTTCTCTGGCCTGGACTCTGAGTAGTACGTTACCTCCAGATCAATAAATTCCTCTGTTATGGGCTTTTAACTGGTACTCACCCTGCAATACCCCAATGCTGGCCATTAAAATCATCCCTGGATTTGATCTGAGATCTCCTGTGATGGCTTTGTTTCCTAGGTCACTCAGCCTATAGATAAATCTGTAGAATTAGATATGATTACTCTTGAAGACCCCAGTTCTCTGGAAAGTTTGAAACAGGTTCTGTCTACTGTAATATTGTGCCGATCTTATTTGCCTCTGAATCTGTGTCATTCAGTGCCACTTTATGCCATGTTCAGAGCTGATCTAACCTCAGGTGGTCCTATGAGAACCTAAGTCCATCCATCTGGGCCCCCTGATCTTCCTCCAAGGCCTGAAGTTCAGCGGCACTGAAGACCTAGACCCTTCACCCTGTTTCAGCCTGAAGTAGCCAGATCAACTCACTAGGTGATTTTAGTGTCTACCTCTTGAGGGGGACTGTTAGGCAGCTGTTAAAAGTCAGGCATTAGCAGCCTTGGTCATTGAGGCTTGGACTCTACCTCCTGTTACCCTGGCAACACACTGATTTTTTTTTTAAGGATGGAGAAGTATCTTGATTGTGCTCCTTAAGAGTGAAGATGCTGTGTGAAAGGGAGGTGGGCTGAGGAAGCAGGGTTCTGTTTCCCACTATGGAGAACTATTTCCTTCTTGTCAAGCAGGGCTGATCTATAGATTTATTTATTATTACATGTATTCAGTTTGTGTGTACAAGCATGTATGGTGACAGTGAGTAGAGGGCAGATGACAACTTGTGGGAGTCAGTTCTTTTCTTTCACTATGTGGGTCCTGGGGATTGAACTCAAGTCATAAGGCTTGGCAGCAGGTGTCTTAACCTACTGAGTCATCTTACTGTCCTTAGATTTCCCCCCTCCCTTCCTCCCTCTCTTCCTCCCTCCATCCTTTCCTTTCCTCTCAATCTACTTGGTTACATGGTTTAGTTAGTTAGTTTGTTTGTTTTTTGGTCAAAAGAATGGGATCAAGGAAGGAAGGAAGGAAGGAAGGAAGGAGAAAGAAAAGAAAGAAAGAAAGGAAGGAAGAAAGAAAGAAAGAAAGAAAGAAAGACAGACAAAGGAATGGGCTCTGATCTGTCTCTTGCAGAGAAATAACGTTCTAAACCGCATAAAATATAAGATTGGGTCAGGTGTGGTGGCACATGCCTTTAATTTCAGCATTTAGGAGGCAGAAGCAGGCAGATTTCTTGAGTTTGAAGCTAGCCTGATCTGCAGGGAGTTTTTAGGCTAGCCAGGGCTACATAGTAAGACCCTGTCTCAAATCAAACCAAACTAATCCTCCAAGACTCCAACTTTATTAAGGTGTAATTTATAGACACCAAAAAGAGCTCACGTTCAGTTCTAACTCAAGAGTTTTGACAACTTGGAGAAACTTCCAGCCATGACACACATTACTACTGCCTTAGAAGGTTCTTTTGGGTGGCTGGACCCTCTCCCCAGGAGCCCTCCCCTAGACTGTGTGCTGTGATTCAGATTAGGCAATCTTCATAGACTTGCAACTGTCCAGTACCCGTCAGCCCTGTCTTCTTGTGGGTGAGGTGGGGGAAGGTGAAAGGGCACACTTCTGTGTTGTGGTTTTGAGGTTTGTCGCTTTTGCTCGTGGCATAGTGGTGGTGCCTTTAGGTGGACAGGTGTTTCTGGTTTGGGACAAACAAGAAGCTGATAAGCTGTCGAGGGGTCCCAGTCTGCCTGCCTCTCCTGAGTAATGAAGCCTAGTTTGCTAATGGTCTTCTGTTGCGAGCATCTGTGTGGCTTCAACACTTCATTCTTTTAAACATTTTTTTTTATTGATTCTTTGGGAACTTCATCTCATGAACCCCAATCCTGATCATTTCCCAGTCCCTCCGTATCTGTCCTTCACCCCTGTATCATCCCCCATAAAATAACATTTAAAAAATATTAATTTAAAACAAAACAAAACAAACAAAAAAACCACTTCTCTCCTCTGTCCTTCCTACCTCTCCAACACCTCTGCTTTCATCTTAGTGGCCTTGGGAGCTACAGTGTGTCTGGAAACACAGACCCTGGGTGGGGTAGGACCACGGACTCAGCCCAGGCCCAGACATCACCAGGCTCCCGGGTGGTGATCTTTTGCCCAATCAATTTTACTTGCAAATGTTCATTGAAATGAGTTGTTGGTCTGGTTCAAGGTCTCTGGCTTCTGGTACACCGCCAATACTGGATCCTCCCCAAAGCTCCTCTCAGAAATCCTGCTGCTGGCCTGAGTCTTGAGATCCTGCGGCTGTCGTTCTGCAGGACCCGTCCCTTCTCACACACTCTGGCAGGTCACGGAAGGGGTAGATGCTGGGGTGGGCCAACTCAAAGCCCTGGATGTGGGTTTGGGTGGTAGCTGATTTGGTCAGTCCAGGCTGTTGGGACCACTCCCCTCAGGTAAGGGGTAGAGCAGCTCTTCTATACCCATGCCATCAGGGCCGGCTCTCCCACACCTGTGGTGAGGGGTGGGGTCAGATCTCCCATGAGGGGCAGGGCCAGTCTTCTACTGCAGCGTAGTGCTGGCATTTCAACATGTTCCTATGTTCCTATGGCCCCCTGTGGTAACACAGACCCCAGCTGCAGCAGGATCACGGACCCAGACGTGGCCCTTGGCTACAGCTCAGGGCTGGATGTCACCATGGCCCCAGGTGGCAGTGCAGGCCACTCAGATCTGTGTGACCCCAGCTGCAGCATGACCTTCAGATACCAACATGGCCCCAGGTGGCAGCCCAGACCCCAGACATCCTTACAGCCTTCATGGTGACAGGAACCACAGACATCAACTCAGGCCCTGGCTGCTGGAGGGCCATGGACCCAGATGCAGCCCTTGGCTTCAGCTAGGGCCGGGATGACACCATGGCCCCAGGTGGCAGCACAGGTCACTCAGATCAGTATGGCACAGCTGCAGCGTGACGCTTGGATGCCAACGTGGCCTCAGGTGGTGGGCCAGACCCTGGGCATCTGCACAGCCTTAAATGGTAACAAGAGCAACAGACACCAATGCAGACCCTCAGCTGCAGTCTGGGCCCAGATGTCACCATGGCCCCGGGTGGCAGCTCAGGCCACTCAGATCAGCATGGCCCCTGTAGTGGCACAGCCCTAGGACAACAATAAGCCAAAGGTGGTGGCCCAGACCCGGGCATCTGTGTGGCCTTTGATGGCAACATGGGCCACGGATGTCAGCACAGACCTTGGGTGGGGTAGGACCATGAACTCAGCCCAGGCCCGGACATCACCAGGGTCCCGGGTGGCAAGCAGGCCACCCACCTCAGCCTGTTCCTCACCACCTTAGCTTCTTCAGTTCTGCCTCTCTCCGCAGCACAGCAGCACACGAGAACCTGTCCTCTTCTCTTTCTCTACCATTTCTCCACCACGTATTTGCTCATCACAGTGGCGCCTCCCCTCCTGGCACCACAGGGTGCCTGAGGCCTGTGAATCTAACACTTCCCTTTTTTAAGTTAACAATTTGAGGAACGTCTATCTTGAAGGTTATTGACCTCTACAAGGATCTTTAAGGCTGTCCCAAGCCTCCTGCTGTGGTCTTGCTGCAGTCTCTTGCCAGGATCTGACTCAGCCAGGTGTCTGGGGGAACCTAGGTTAGGTGTGAAGGTCCTCCTTCCCTCTGCTTGCCTTGCACAGCGCTGGGCACCACAGCATCTGGAAACCCCTGGCTGACTTGAACCCATCATCTCCTTCCCTTCCTGTGCCTGCGCTCCCCAGTGCAGGACTCTGGGTTACAGGCAGTGGAGGAAGGCTAGCATTGAGGGGTCCCAGCTCTGTCGGGAGACACTGGCTTTTCCTCCCTGTGGACACACCCACAAGGCATAGACCTCACTTGACTGGGCCTCTCAGTTTTCTTATAGCCCAGCTCCATCTAGCTCCTCCCCACAGATGCTCCTCCCAGGTGCGTACTGCTGAGCAAAGGCTTCCACTGGATCCATTCAGAGGAGGCTGTAGAGGGGTGAGCTGTCCCAGGATATGAGACCCCTATGGCTGGAAGGTGAGTGCTCTGGGGGCCTGCAGTACTGGAAGGTAGATACCACACAGGGCTCATGTGGGTGGAGAGAAGAGCCTGGAAATCTAGCTTGAAATAGATCCCAAGCCGGCGGTGGTGGCGCAAGCACACTTTTAATCCCAGCACTCGGGAGGCAGAGCCAGGTGGATCTCTGTGAGACCAGCCTGGGCTACAGAGGGGGTATCAGGAAAGGCACAAAGCTACACAGAGAAACCCTGTCTCAAAAAACAAACCAAAACTAAACAAAAAAGAAATAGATCCCAAAATGGGAACACCTCCTCTTCCTGCCTCCCGCACTGGCCACCCCAGGGCACTAGATCTCAACAGTCTTGCCATGTGAGGCTCTACTTTGCCCAGAGGAGGGGCTCTTCCAGTTGCCCGAAAGCTACTTGCCATAATCCAAGTCTCTGGCAGCCACAGATGCCTTTGTAGATTCTTGGAGCTTCTTGCTTCTCATCTATAAGGTGGGTGTAACCTGGAAGCCTTACCTGTGTGTGGAGGTGTAGCTGCCTCCCAGGCTTCACCAAGGTCTTTCCAGACCAGACTGACAACCTCTGAGTGCCTGGGGAACTGGCAGAGTGGCATTCCGGGACTCTGACGCTGGGGCTAAGGTCTCCAGCACCTCCAGGGGAGGTAAGGAGATAAGGACTGAAGCTGTGAAGCCGTGGGGTGGGGTGGAGGAGGAGATTCACTTGACGCTTGCTCTCCCAGGGGCTGTTAACAGTCTCCTTACAAAGGAGAAAACAGGTACAGCATCACCGCCCAGGGCCATGGTGGGGTACCAGAGGGAAAGTGGTAAGTGGGCAAGCAGCGGGCGTCTACCTAGATGAAGTCCAACCCCTCACCCCTCCTCCTTCCCACACACAGATGGGCCGCCCAGGACCCCCAGAGGAGAAGGTCTCCGACACCCAGCTGTCCGGGGCTCCTGGTGGCCCTGGAGATGCGCTTGGTGACGACATCGATGGTACAGAGGATTCAGACTTGGTGCCCTCTGTCACCCTGGCCGCGGCCCTCATCCTACTGTTCCTCCTAGTGTCACTCTGGCTGGCTTGGCCACTCTGGCAAGCCTCCTACTAAGCGGATTCCTGAGTGGAGGGCAGCAGGACCATTGGGCTTCTAGCCCCACTCTGGGTCGACGACTCTCAATGCTGTGGGAAAGTGTGGCAGCTCATGCTCACCCGGTCCACTTCCCTTGATGCCTGGCTTTACTCATGTCTCTCATCTTTATAAAGCCGTGCTGCGGGCTTCAGATAAAGCTGAATGACTTCAGTCACTTGTGTCAATGAGTGGGGATAACTGTGTGGTCAGCTCCTCCATTCTGGGGCCTCAGTTTCTCCAGTCTTCAAGGTAGGGTGGCAGTGCCTGCTTCTGGGTATTTTGAGGAAGATGCCCAGTGGGAAGGCCTCCTGTGGTCATCTCTGTGATATATACTCCTCCATTACGCCAGCCTCTATTTCTGCACTCAAGCAAAAGATTCATAGGCATAGGTGATACCTCCAAAAGATGTACTGGTCTCAGCTGCCACCTGGTGGTAAAAGATAGGATTGCACCTGCATAGAGGTTCCCTTGGGTGTTCCAGGAATGGGCCGTTTTCATTTTCTGTTCTCTTTCTTTCCTTCTTTCCTTCTTTCCTTCTTTCCTTCTTTCCTTCTTTCCTTCTTTCCTTCTTTCCTTCTTTCCTTCTTTCCTTCTTTCCTTCTTTCCTTCCTTCCTTCCTTCCTTCCTTCCTTCCTTCCTTCCTTCCTTCCTTCCTTCCTTCCTTCCTTCCTTCCTTCCTTCCTTCTTTCTTCTC